GCCCGTGGCTAATGAAAGATCGCCCCCTAGTGAGTGGGCCCCGTAGCTATGAAAATCAGCCCCCGGTGATGCGGCCGTGGCTATGAAATCAAGGCCTGGTGATGAGGCGTCGCTATGAAAATCAGCCCTTGTGGTGGCCGCGTGGCTATGAAAATCAGGCCGCCTGGTGATGGGCGTGGCCCTAATGAACAATCAGCCCCCTAGTGAGGCCGGCGTGGCTGGCGCGCAGCGCATCTGCCAACCATGCGTGTCGTCGCGCGCGTGAGCGGGAAAGAACACGAGGCAGCCTTCCCATCCGCCCGTGAGAGCTCTTACCGTGCTCGACGGAGAGATCGGGGGCCGCCGGCTGGCTCCTAAAAGGAACACAGAGTTCCGCACAGACCACTAGATGCGGATTCCGGGTCTGAAGAGTGGAGGATCGATGTTGCCAGAAGAAGATGAACTCTCACTACTGTTTGAATCAATGCTAGAAATCGGTTCTGTACGTACTTAAAAAAATAACACATCCCCTGAAATCAGCCCTAGGGTGTCTTCTGGAGGAAAAATAAGACCCTGTCTTATTTTCGGGGAAACACGGTATTAGTGATCTTTCATGATTCTACCTGGCTAGCCGGTGTGCTCCAACAGATAACAGAGCCCTTTGAAGCTGTGCTTTCTACTTCCTCTGGTTTGAAACTCAGCCCCCAACACTTCCAAAGGGTAGAAACAAAGAGAGGTTTCAGACTGGATCGAGTCAGGCTGAGAGCATCTCACGGTTGAGTTGCCTCTAAGGCAGGCGTCCTCAAACTACGGCCCGCGGGCCACATGCGGGTGTTTTTGCCCGTTTGTTTTTTGACTTCAAAATAAGATATGTGCAGTGCGCATAGGAATTTGTTCATATTTTTTTCTTAAACTTACGGCCTCCAACGGTCTGAGGGAGAGTGAACTGGCCCCCTGTTTAAAAATTTGAGGGCTCTGGTCTAACGTCATCAGCGTTTTCCATTTCCTCTTGCATGATGTTATGGGGGTGGTTGCTTTTATTTTTATTTTTTTGAGACAGAGTCTCGCTTTGTTGCCCGCAGGTGATGTGAGTGTTGTCAGCCCTGCTCACAGCAACCCTCCAACTCCTGGGCTCAAGCGACCTCCTGCCTCAGTCTCCCCAGTAGCTGGGACTACAGGCATGCGCCACCATGCCCGGCTAATATTTTTTTCTATATATTTTAGTTGTCCAATTAATTCTTTTATTTTATAGTTGAGACGGGTCTCGCTCTTGCTCAGGCTGGTCTCCAACTCCTGACCTCGAGCGATCCTCCCGCCTTGGCCTCTCACCAGAGTACTGGGATGACAGGCGTGAGCCACAGCGCCCAGCCCATGTTAGACTTTTTTAAACAGGAGGGCCAGCTCACTGTCCCTCAGACTGTTGGGAGTGCACACTGCGGACCCGGGATGAGTCGGCTGCTAAGCCGGACAGGCAGCAGCTGCAAAAACACCCGGCGGGCCAGATACATGTTCTAGGCGGCCCATATACAGTCTCTGGACTGCAGTTTGAGGACGCCTGTCTTACAGAGTTCGGTTGCTTTGCCCAAGGACCACGTGAATTAAGGGCAAGGCTAAGGGTACAAGCAGGTGTCTGCCCGGCTCCTGCACCGTCTCAGCTGATAAGAGTGGGTGTGACAAGCAGAGTGAGGATTTGAGAAGGGCACCCCCAAAGAAGCTGAGGTTGGAAATGTGGTCTATGGGCCGGGCGCGGTGGCTCACGCCTGTCATCCCAGCACTCTGGGAGGCTGAGGCGGGAGGATGGCTCCACGTCAGGAGTTCGAAACCACCCTGAGCAAGAGCGAGACCCGTCTCTTACTAAACTAGAAAAAATTAATTGGCCAACTAATATATATAGAAAAAATGAGCCGGGCGTGGTGGCGCATGCCTGTAGTCCCAGCTACTCGGGAGGCTGAGGCAGGAGGATCGCTTGAGCCCAGGAGTTTAAGGCTGCTGTGAGCGAGGCTGACGCCAGGGCAACAGAGTGAGACTCTGTAGCAAAAAAAAAAAAAAGAAAAAGAAAAGAAACTGTGGTCTGTGCACACCACGGAGCACTACTCAGCTCTGAGAAACAGCGGTGATTCGGCACCTCTTGTGTTTTCCTGGCTGGAGCTGGAGCCCATCCTGCTAAGTGAAGTCCCAAGAATGGAAACACAAGCCCACGTGCGCTCACCAGCAAACTGGAGTTGACGGATCAGCACCTAAGTGGACACACAGGAGTGACATCTATCGGGTGTCGGGCAGGTGGGAGGGGAGGAGGGGACGGGTGTAGACAGACACGACGAGTGAGACGTGCACCGTCTGGGGGATGGGCACGCTTGAGGCTCTGACTCGAGGGGGGAGGGGAGCAAGGCCAATGCACGTGACCTTGATATTTGTACCCCCATAGGATGCTGGAATAATAATAATAATAAAGCAAAACAAAAAAAGAAGCTGGGAATGCCATGCTCCTTGCTCAGAGGTGGGGACTCTCAGTGTGGCAAGAGGGGGTCTGTGGCTGTCACTGCCCTGGGAAAGGCTTGCTCAGGGTCCCTCTGCCGTCTTCCCACCTGCGCCAGGCTTACCTGTCACCGTGCATTTCTCCGGCTCTCACCCACCCACAGTGACGCATGCACCAGACCCAAAGCCTGCAGAGAACACAGGACATGCATCTGGTCCCTGCAAACCCTGTGTTGGCACGCCCACCCCCCCTGCGAGTCTCCTTAAATTTCCCCTTTACTTCCTTCCATACAGAGCCTTGCTATATAGTGCCTGAGGGATATGAAAAAAAAAACTTCTGTTATCTCATTCACCTCTCTCTATAACTCTATTCTTTCCCATTCTCCATCCATAGTGGCATCTCAATCTTTTTTCACCCAATATCTTTTCAATATACGCACATATTGAACCTTCCCAGCTGGGATCACTTTTCCTTCACAATCTTAATCCACAGTACACCCGTTCCTTAAGACTTCTCCTCCAAATCCCTGAATTCCTTGTCTGGTATCTTATGACTTAGATGACGAACCATGGCTTCTTCCAATTTTCTCTATTAATCATTAGCTCCTTGTGAATCCTTATCCTTTCTCCTCGACGTATTACCAGCATCAGATGGGGATGTTCATTAAGCAATACGGTACTCTTCAGATAAACCCCAATACTTACATTTTACCATTGGCCACAGATACGACTAATGGTGGGGAATGCAGTGGTAAGAGAAACGAGAGATATGTTTTACGGTGGAAATACAAATTAAAATACTACAATGTCTTCATGCCACAATGGGCTCTTCTCTTTTGCGATGCTGTTTGTCTTGTATAAAATACCAATTTGGCTGGCGCGGTGGCTCCACACCTGTAATCCTAGCCCACTCTGGGCAGCAGAGGCGGGTGGATTGCTCAAGGTCAGGAGTTCCAAACCAGCCTGAGCCAAGGTGAGACTCTGTCTCTACTATAACTACGAAAAAACATAATGTGCCAAGTTAAATACTATAATAGAAAAAATTAGCCGGGCATGGTGGGCATCATGCCTGTAGTACCCAGCCTAACCAGGAGGCCTGAGGCTAGCAGGATGTGCGCTTGAGCCCCAGGAATTTGAGGGTTGCTTTGAGCTAGCGCTGGATGCCCAGCACTCGATTCTAGAATGGCCAACAAAGCGAGACTGCCTGTCTCAAACAAAAAAAAAAAACAAAAATAAAAACAAAACAAAATAAAATAAAAGTTTAGTTAGATCTTTCCGATCCTCGGTGACGAAAAATGATAATCAC